TCAGCTCCCTCCCCCCACCCGTCCGCACATCATCACAATGAAGAGCGAGAGGAGGAATTCTGGGAGTTGAAGTCCACGAGTCTTAAAGCTGTCAAGTTACAAGACCCTTGCATCCCTTACCCTTTAGGGGAAAAAACCCCAGGGGTGTTCAAACTTGACAGCTTTAAGACTCGTGGACTTCAACTCCCAGAATTCCTCCTCTCGCTCTTCATTTTGATGATGTGCGGACGGGTGGGGGGAGGGAGCTGAAACCAGTTCTAAACGGCACTGTAGATTTGTAGAAGAGGTTATAACTGGCGGGAACCCACCCCTGCTGAAGTCGTTCACAAAGAGCAGATATAGTGGGAGGCTATAAATGGATCAGAACACAAGCAAATTAGCTCAGATATTCTGAAATGGTTTGGTTCTGGAGCAAGTCCTCTTCTATTTATTTACAGGTAACCCTCGGCTTGCAACAGTTTGTTTAGTGACCATTTGAAGTTACAGCGGCACTGCAAAAGAAGTGACTTATTACCACTTTTCACACTTATAAACTGTTGCAGCATCCGCATGATCGTGTAATTTACATTCAGTTATTTGATAACTGGTTCACATTTATGACAGCTGCAGGGTCCTGGGATCATGTGATCACCTTTTGAAAGTTTCTGACAAGCAAAATCAACGGGGAAACCAGATTGGCTTAGCAGCTGTGTTACTGACTTAACAACTTAACCAAGGTGACAAGAAAAGTCTTAAATGGGACTTAACACATTTCTCAATGAGCAACATAAATTTTGGGGCCAATTGACGTTGTAAGTTGAGGACCACCTGTATTTAGGACACTCAGATGTAGCTTTACTGTTAATGATGCCATATAAGCAACTGAGAAAAAGGTTCTCATAGTAACTTACTCAGCTTCAGAACAAGGATGGAAATGCCAGGGTATTCAGAGTGCCATCCTACTGGTTGAGCCTCGTCATTGGCTCTTGGTATCCTTGGGCACGTGGTGAAGTTAAAGCAGAATCTATTGTTGTTGTATGCCCAATAAACAAATAAATATCCTGGACTCCAAGTATGATGGAAAACTGACATGGTGGTTCAACCCAGCTGTTGTTATTTCTCAGAAATACTAACTTAAAGTAAACCCCGAGAATACCATTGTGCCTAAACTACATGAAGTATCAGATCTATTATGGTTGGTCACACAGTAAGCCAGATGTTCAGACTGGATTTGGCATTTTTTAAATCTACCTATTGACTCCTTTTCAAGGATCTGGGATAGGCAGATGTTGTTGTTTAATATTATTAAAGGTATCGTTGCAAGATGTCAGCTGTTTCAAATAAAACAGCCTTTTGGTAATATCTTTGCTTTCTTTTGCCTCAGTCATTCTACTTCTGTTTGCAGGTCTTTGTATTCAGTGATTTTGCTCCAGTTTTCTCTTCTATTCTGCTGTCTCCAAGAAATGTAGCGCCTACAATCCAGATTCTTTGGCCTTTCTTATCAAGAATTGCTAAGTCTGGGATGTTGTGTGACAGATATTTCTCTGTCTGAATTATAAAGTCCCAGAGCATTTTAGCCTCTTTATTTTTCTATTATTTTGCCTATTTTGTAGTCCAACTAATTCTTNCACAAATAAACACACACACACACACACATATATATATTATAATAAATATATTTATTATATTATTTATTATATATATATTATATTTTAAAAAACCGTGAAAAGTGCACAAATGAGCGCGACATCCAGTTTAAAAGCGCAATAAAGATTTACAAGGCCGAGCTGTGCAGCAACTCTCTTTAAGTAGATCCTAAATATATAATAATATATTTATTTATTATATTATTTATTTATTTATTATATTATTATATTATATTTTTTTATAAAAACCTGAAAAGTGCACAAATGAGCGCGACCTCCAGTTTAAAAGCACAATAAAGATTTACAAGGCCAAGAAGCTGTGCAGCAACTCTCCCTAAGTAGATCCTAAATATACAATAGTATTGTATTATATTTATTTATTATTTATTTATTATATTATATTTATTATATTTTTTTAAAAACGTGAAAAGTGCACAAATGAGCGCGCCATCCAGTTTAAAAGCGCAACAAAGATTTACAAGGCCAAGAAGCTTTGCAGCAACTCTTATTTTAAGTAGATTCGGTCGAAAAGACCAAACATAGCCAGCCGTCCGTCACCAGAAGGTGCTGAAGCCTTTAGTTTAAATAAGTGGTTTCCGCTGATGCCAGAAACAGTTGGAATACGATATTGGGATGAATGCGGTTCGGGGTGGCAGAATTAGAACTAGGCACTTGTTTCTAGCAAGTCCCTGGAAAGTGCTAGCAAAGAGACTAAGGTGACATCTGCGCTGCCTGCTCTCTTTCACGTGGTGGTTCGTTCCCAAGGGTGGGGGGGGAAAGAATATCAGCTTAATGACTTTGGCAAAGGTAATTTGTTTTTTGTTTTTTAACAATCAGACAGAGTCATACAAGAGGAAAGTAGGTGGGCACATGCAGTTTAACTGCGATTTGTTGGACAGGCTGTAGCGAATGTGTAGTTACTGAGATTTTTTTGCCACCCACTTGCCAGTTCTAATGTGGTTTACAATATTACGAAATCCAATTTTAATGAAATGCGTTAGTAAAACCAATAAATATAGAAGTCTTTAAAAGGTCTGTTTTTGTCATCTTCTGAAACATGGAAAGAGGCACACCTGATTTGGGCAAGGTGTTCCAGTGGGAAGGATCTGTTGTTGAGAAAATCAAGCCTCTGAGTTCCCATCTCTTTTTTTTCCTGATCTGGGGTGTCCATTCTCTAATAGATCATGAAGGTAGTGCAGATTTTACGTGAAGGAGACTGTTACAAAGGCCCAAGCAGAAATATATCCAAGGACCTGACATCTCTTCTGCAACAGCATCAAATTGATATCACCCTCTCAGAAGAGAGTGGAACTACTTCAAAACTGTCTCCAGTCCCCCTCTCTTGCAAGCAGCTCAAAAAGATACCATGTTGTTATACCGAAACTTGCAGAGAGGTCTACAGGAAAGGAGAATGCATCACAGCTGTTTCAAGTTGCGTGTACAAAAACATGTTCTGTTTCATGTCTTGTTTAGAAAGGATCCAAATAATCTGTCTCATCCAGGACCCTTTTGTAGTTGAAGCCTAGCTACCTTTTCTGCAGCTTTTTCAAACAGTAATAGGTTGGATAAGTAGATCCAGAAAAGTATTTTTAAGAAGAGAGACCAGTTTCTTTAATGGCTGAAGGTATTGCCTCCTCTTCCTTTAGCAGTGGTTGATTGATCAGCTGAAACCATGTGCTCCATTCTTGTTAGAAGTTCACATTGAACAGTAAGGATCTAATTTGCATGTAGCCTCCTCAGGCATCCACCTTGAAGCAATAGTTTACAAAGTACAATTTACATACTGCAGTAAATAAAATCTAAACTCTTAAAAACACTTTGGTTATGGTCAGTGTATGCATTTGATTGTCCCTCTTCTCCTGCTTCTTGAGAGGTCTTACAATTTAAATTCAAGGACATTAATAGTTCATAGAAAGCCCTGAGAAGTGGGACATTTACAAATTGATTAAAGAAATAAAATAATTGCAACACAATATTCTCTATATAGAGATTGAAAAGCATGGGAGTGGGGGGGAACATCAGTCTGCATGGGCCTTTTAACTGAACAGTTTTTAAAACCAGGGATGATGCACATTTCTATTATTACCGGTACTTATCTAGTTCCAAGGAAGCAGTTGGATTCTTCAACATTAAACTTGATAACAGAGATGAGGGAGAACAAGTTGAAGTTAAATCCAGACAAAACAAAGGTGCTTTTGAAAAACAGAACTCTGGATGGAGAGTGTGGTAAAACCTGTTTTAGATGAGATTGCCCTCCCTCAAGAGGAGCAGATTTGCCATTTAACAGCAGTCTTGAATCTGCAGGTGAAGGCTATTATATAACATATCCATTCTTTGGTTATAACCTGTCTTGAGTTCTACAATATGTTTATCTTATGGCTGTCCTTGAAGAGTACTTGAAATTAGTAATTGGTGCAAAAATGCAATAGATAGGTTGCTATGTGATACAAGGTACAAAGATCAGACAATGCTTGTAGTGAAAGATTTGTATTGGGATTTGAGATACTGCCTTTGTTATTGGGAATCTGCTAAGGAGACCTTTTGGAAGATTACTCTGTGGTACTTCTTGTAGGGCATCAAAGCAGTAGCTCAAAAATATGTTTGGTTTGCAATCTCCCATCCATGCCACTAGTGGATACTATTTTGTCAGCAGGATTATAGAGTTGGCTTCGAGATAATGAAATTTTTCTCCTAGAAGGAATCAGTTTTCCAGTTGTATACTGGAATTTTGAATGCATACACACTGAACATCAGAAATATGTGTTGAATTTCCTACATTGTGATAATGCAAACGTCAACCATCTGAAACAGTTCTGAAATTTTAAGTAAAGCAATAAAAAAAAACCCTTAAAACTAATGAAATAAACAATTACCCTGACAAGTAAAATCAAGAGGGGAATAGATAAATTGTCAGGTCATGGCAAAACCTTTGCACTATGGAAGATTTCCTAATCTTCAAAATCAATTTATTCCCAGAGTGGATACACCACAGGAAACATCTGCCCCTATAACATCATTAAAGGAATTTCAGTCAGCCAAAGAGTCAGGAAGACATCCTATCATGAATATAAGGATTGATTAGGCCTATATTGAAGCAATTACTTAGGTAACACAAGTTGTTTAGGGCTTTTCATTAACATTGCAAATGTCTGAGCAACTGATTAAAATGGACCATCTCTAACAATTTTTTGTTAGTATCTGTGATTTTATGATATTAATATATAATGACTTGGAATACTAACTTGATGTTTCTTTATTAGGCAGAAGGAGAAGAAGATTCTTGCTCTGACATAGTAAAGGAGGATGACAATGATATTTCTGGTGAAGCAAATCTTGAGGTGTGCTGTTTTATCCTCACTCGTGTAGTAATATATACAATTTTATTCTTTATTCCATGTGCCTTTGTACTTTTGTCTCAACATAAAACTTTTCTGTATATTAGCTTTAAATGGAAAACAGTTTTATTTTGGGGGATGCAGTTGCAATGATCCTTAAAATTTTTCATAAGAATAATTGTTTATTAAGATTATGAAAAATCAGCTTAGTAGAAAAATATTTCTATCCATGTGACAGAAATACTTTATATTCTTGATAGGAACATACATCCCTAGAAATTCAGTATTCCTTTTCTTTCTATCTGTAGAACTTCAGCTGCTGCTTCTTATAATGTTTATTGATCATTCTTCAAAAATGGATTTTTAGGCAGAGCTTCAGATGTTCAGAGCCCAGTGGATGTTTGAACTTACCCCAGGGGGGAGCCCTACAGGTCTGGAAACTCGATCCTGCAGAACAAGAGGGTCTTTATTAAAGACCATAGATACCAAAGGGAAACTCGAACTTGCAAAAGAGGAAAAGGTAAACAATTTAAACCTGCTAAGAGCCATGGTGGTGCAGTGGTTAGAATGCAGTATTGCAGGCTAATTCTGCTGACTGCCAGCAGTTCGGTTCCCACTGGCTCAAGATTGACTCAGTCTTCCATCCTTCTGAGGTCAGTAAAATGAAGACCCAGATTGTTGGGGGTAATATACTGACTCAACCGCTTAGAGAGGGCTGTAAAAGCACTATGAAGCGGTATATAACTTTAAGGGCTATTGTTATTGCTGTTGCTTTTGCTATTTCTAAATTGTTAACATTCATCTTTTGATGTTTCAGTATGTATAAAGTATAACCTAATTTTTTTATTTCTATTCTTACAATTGAGCTGTATCTTATTGAAATAATGCTGTCAGTATTATGAGAAAAAAATCTTGTCCTCAATTTCCTGTACATTTGGATTTATGTTCAACGAAGTAAAGGCAAAATATGATTAAAAACACAATCAGATATTGGAAAAAAAATACAGGATTGTAGTGCAGTTAACATGATTAACATTGAAGTAATCAGTTTTGGTCAATAATTAGGTTGTTTATTAAAATTTAATTAGCCATGGAAAAACTGCTTTTGATTTTTTTTAAAAATAGTATTAAAAAAATACTAATAGAAGGTTGTATTTCATTACTTAAGTCAATTTTCTTTGCTTACATGTAAGGAATTCCAAAAACAAATGACTAATTTTTGTGCAGGCAAGAGAACTGTTTCTGAAGGCAGTGGAACAAGAGCAAAATGGAGCTCTTTATGAAGGTAATTCAACATTCCGATTTAATGTCATATATTAATTTCTTGGACCATGCTCCTTATCAGCCAAAACCATTTACTGTTATAGTGAAAAATACAATGTAAAGATTCATTATTAACAGGCAACATGGTTGTCAAGCCCCCAACATATAATTTGTTTATATACTGCTGTTCTCTGGGAGGTGTTGAGCCCCATCTAGTAGCCGGAGACAAATCCATTATTGTTTGGAAACTGATCTGACCTTTTAAGGCATCCATCTTCCCATCATCCCTCATTCCAAAAACAAGTGCATTTGAAAGACATCAAGCAGTCATTTCTCTTCCACTCTCTTTAGTGCTGTGGTGTTGCAATGTGTCCTGGCCCTTCCGAAAAGGGAATGAACGCAGCTTCTTTTGTGTGTGGTGGGGTGGTTGCTTGCGAAGCTGAGGATCTGGTCCATGTGAGTGGGTTTGCGGTAGACACGGGTTTCCTGTTCTATGTTGCTTACTTTCCTTATGTTAATATCAAGGAATGGGAGTCTTGTCTGTTTTCTCTTCATGTGTGAAGTTGATCCTGAGGAATATGAGTACTTGCAAATAGATATTCCCATTAAAATTGAAATACGTGTTGAGGTATAGATCCAGAAGTTTCATGATGGTTGCTATAGACATGGAGTGTTCTATGGCAGAGTCATCTTTGTAAGTATGGTGTTTAGTGAGTAGGTGGTGTTTAGCCAAGTTGGTATCATGGTGACGAGTACGGTGATATTGAAGGAGACCATGATTCCTTCCTTGTTGATTTTGATGTGCTTGATAAGTTGGATATATTGTTCTGGGGAATTTATTGAGTGGGTTGAGTCAGGTGTCTAAGAGTTTCTCCTGCAGGGTTTTTGCTAGTTTATACATCAGTGTTCTGGGTAGAGACATAGTTGGGTGTAAGGGGATCCCATTCTTGTATATTTTTGGGAGTCCATAGAACTTGGATGTGGAGGAGTCTTGTGGTTGCATGTTCTTTCTCTCTAGTGGTGTTAGCTGTTTTTCTTTTTCCATTTTCCTTAGGGTGTCTTTTATTTTTTTCTCTAGCTGTTTTGTTGGATCATTGTGGTTTATGTGGCAGGTGTCATCATTTGAATGGTTTTCAGCTTTGCTGATATAATCAGCTTTGTCCATAACCACAGTCGGTCTACCTTTGTCTGCCTGTGGGATGACAATATTTTCATCTTGCTTCAGTTTCTTCAGTGTTCTCTTCGTCTTTTGCCTGAGTGTTTGTTTTATCTGTTGCATTGCTTGTTAGGATGATTCTTTGCCTGATGTCTTATTGTATTTCTTAGTCCAGGTAGTTCGATTTTAAAATGTATTTGAGGTTGGCTGAGAATTCAATGGGGTCAGTGTCTTTGTGGTTGAGGTTGCTGTGTGTGAGGACAGTCTTTTCATCATCTGATAGAGGTCTGCTAGATAGATTTCTGATCCCTAATTCTGAGTTGTCTGGTGGTTTTGAGGTGATGGTATTGAGTTTCTCCTGTAGTGAGTTGCATTTTGGGGTTTGTATTTTGTTGGCATTCCTATGGATCGTGTGTCCTAAGATGTCTGTCGGGTCCTGTCCAAAACAGTTGAGGCAGGCGGGTTTTTTGCTCTTCGGTGATGCGTTGGTATTTTTCACGGCGGTTGTGGGCATTGGTGATTGGTAGCATATACTTTTTTGTTTGTTTGTGGAGGCATTTGTGAAGGAAGTGTAGCTGTTTGCAGGTCGATGATCATCTGGTGGCAAAAGTCTCTTAGAGGTGGGCAAGTCTGAGCGTTGCATTTCCATGTGAGTTTGCAATAGTGGCAAATATCTGCATACTTCTGTATACAATTCTACATGGGAAAAAACATCACATCGGTTGAAAACCAGAATCTATTAACATGAACTGGCAGACAATCACTATGATCCAAAATCCCTAATAGCTACCCATACAGACACTGAACAGCACCAGTTTGATTGAAGCAATACAAGAATCATCAGCCATGCTACCACAGTAATTTTGAAGTAAGTATTGTAATAAATGGACTTAAACATTTTTAATAAAGATAGCAATATGGTTAATGTGCGTAAAATCCCCTCTCCTGTCCCTTCTGATTTATCTTTTTTTCTTCCTAATTTTTTTTTAATGGGAGGAGGGGAAGTATGTTGCAAAGCAACCTCACAGTCTTTATTCCAAGAATGTTTCTGGTCCTCATGTATTCAAGCAAGCGTCTTGGGATATTAGATGGATGATAAGGCCACAATCTTACCAGCTTATCTTACAGTGAATGGGTGCTTTGTGTTTGCTCATACTAATGAAGACAGTTGCCAAAATACGTTCTCAACATTTCAAATGTGCTAACTGGCTCAAGCAACTGTGCCAATTTTAACCTCGGAGTACTTACCTTGCCCTGTCTATTAATTACTCAATGATCCTTGTTGCTGATTCAATCCATTGCTCCACTCCCCCCAGCTGGTCACCACATTTTATCAATACCTGTAAAAAAAGTATGGAAATAGTTAAATAGTTATATTATTAAAATGGCCTTTAATTAATCACAGTGATTGCACTCTCTTACCATCATTTTTGCAGAATGTGTTTTGAATTAATAGTATAATAACAAAAGAATGAACAGTTGCTTAAGAACTCTGCTAATGCACTGATTTTTAAAACTTCATTTTTAATATTCCAAAGTGTATGAACAATCAATTTAAGTAAACATTGCTTTTATTTTTAGCTATTAAATTTTATCGTCTGGCTATGCAATTGGTCCCAGATATTGAGTTTAAAATTACTTATACCAGATCTCCAGAAGGCGACAGTATTGGGAAAAGCTAGTAAGTATATATGTATGTATATATGTATGTATTATTTGAAAAAGTTGTACTTAGTATATACTGGGTTTCATATTTATATAGTTATTGGTGGTGTTAGATGGACATGATCCCAGTAAACCCATCTTAGTTAATTATAGCAGTAGACTTATATACCGCTTCATAGGCCTTTCAGGCCTCTCTAAGCGGTTTTACAGAGTCAGCATATTGCTCCCAACAACAATCTGGGTCCTCATTTTACCCACCTCGGAAGGATGGAAGGCTGAGTCAGCCCTCCCCCCTCTCTCTCTCTCTCTCTCCCCCTCTCTCCCTCTCTCCCTCTCTCTCCCTCCCTCTCCCTCCCTCTCTCTCTCTC